CAGCCAGCTGAGCCAGTCAGCCGCTGCTGCCGGAGCGTGGTGCGCATCGCCAGCCTCCCACGCCTCCTTCCAACGGAGACCCAGGAATACACAGAATACAATACGCCGCCCCAAGCCACCTTGCCCGACCCCGGGGACGACCTGCAAGCCAGCCCCGCGGGGAAACTCCCAAGACTGGGGACCGTCAACGCGAAGACCAGGCCAGCGCAGGCAGTGGGTTTTTCTTGAGGGGACGCAGGAGCCAGGCACATGATCCCAGGGAGATCCTGAGCGACCGCAAAGACGGCACCACGATTCTGAGAGGCACGGGGCTACTGAGGGGCTCTTCCCAACCGGTAAGGTGGCAGATACCTCCACCGGGATCCGGGTCTTGTCGGCTGCTCCCAGCCCACGCTGCCGGTGCCTGAGGAGGGGGCAGACCTCAGCGCGAGGCGTGCAAGAGCTGGACTTACCCGCGAGCCACAACGGGGAGATCTCGAGCCAGCCGGCTCAGGAGAGGCAGCAGGCAGGAAGCCGGCACCGCTGGAGAAAAATCCTGCCCGGGCTCAACTTCCCCCCAGAGAAACCAAGTGCAGATGATCCAGACGCAAACGCAGCCTTCTTCTCCCAGTTAACCTGCTGGAACCACGTCAGAGCAGGGAAAAAATCTCTCTCCATGACTCACGCTCGGTGACATTTGAGAGAGAGACAAAGAGCCAGCGAAGCCGAGGCAGAAGGAAATCTTATCAGGATTTAGCAGAGCGGTTCCTCCTTCCGCGTGAAATGCCAAATGTGGTTTCCTCAGAGGCCGCCCGGCTCCCAGAGCGACCTCTGACCCACGTCCCTTCCTGCGTTAAGGCGAAGCGAGGCAGCACCCGAGGCAGGAAGCCCAGAGCAGCGGAGAAGCCTTTGAGGAAAGCGCGTTCAGCGGAAGGCCACCCATAACCCGCGCCTCCCGGCTGACCTTGGATGGACTTCAGCGGGAAGACCGCTCGCACCGTGAACGATCCCCGGGCGGAACAAGAGGGTTTAAGCCTCAAGCCCCGGGCCGCCTCTGCCTCGAGGCTGGGCAATGCTCCAGCCTCCTTTGGAAAATGCTGCGCAACATGTCAGATGCGCCCCTGTCTCAGGCAGGGGATGAGTTTGCAAAGATCATAAAGCCCCCCCTTCCCAATGAAGTCTGAAGCACTTTGCAGGCCTGTTCGGCCGCTCTAAAGCACCAAGTGGACTTTGGGCCCTTCTGAGATCTGGCAGAAGTCTGGACACTATTTGCACACCACATTCCTGACGCTATTTGCACACCTCATTCCCCGCAGAGCCCAAATATGCCCTCCCTGCCCCAAGGGCCTTCATCAAAGCATAGCGCATCTTGGCTTTGCCTTTGCCTTTGAACAAAACGCTTGCCTCCTGATCCCACGTCCAGATTGTCACAGAAAGGCACCTTTTAAACGATGCGCATGGGGTATGTGCACACCGGTGCAGCTGGCAGCCCTTTTGAAATCTATTTCGCTTTAGGCAGAACTGGCAGATTCAATTTAGGCAAAGGCTCAGCCTCCTCGGTTCAGTTTTAGCACGTGAAAATGAGCAGCACTCTGTTCCTTGCGTTGGTGCAAGCATAGCCAGGTGGACGGGCTACTTGCAGTCTCCAGCACAGCTTGAAGCGGCCACCCCCGCAGGAGGCTGTCGCGCCGAAGGCTGCCTCCGCTTCACGGTGCAAGAACCCCCCAGCACTGGGGGTCTGTCAAACCCTGAACCCGAGCATATTCTGGGAACACACAAGATGTTTTCAGTTCTGTTGTGCTTTTTGGTAGTCGCAATCAAAGTGACTGCAAGCTTCATATTTCTCCAAATGCTTTCTTCAAATGCTTTCCTCTTGATTCTTCATCAGCCAGACAGAAATGCCTAATAAATGCAAACCTAGAACGCAGTCTAAACACCGCATAGCTCCTTAATCTTTGTTGGGGGGGGGGACGTTTAACATCCTCCCCTAATTTCTGATTCCTAGATGTTTGGCAGCAACTCCTAGGAATTTTGCATGAGATGGGCGGCTATATAAATACAATAAATAAATAAAAAATAATTTGGAAGCTAGCAAAAATCCTCGGAGAGAGACTTTCTCCACTGCTTATTCCCAGCTTCCAAGAAGGAGGTGAATCCGCTTCAGTCGCACCCAGGTAGTATGTGACGGTGCTTTGCTGTCAGCTCTTTGCATTTATTATTTTTGGGCTTCCTCTGGGAAATCAACCAAACAGCAGTCGTAGGAGGAGGAAAGCGAAAAAGACCGCTGGTTCCCTATTTCGATTGCTCCACCAACTTTATAAGCTGGTAAAGATAATTAGCTGCAATGAGGCAGGAAATGAACAGCCAGCCAGCCAGTCTCTAATGTCATTCCAGCCTAGCCTGATGAAAACCAGCCCAGCTCTCATCCCTCTTGCCTTGGAGAGACTCGAATGTTGAGTTGCTTCTCGCTGAGGACACGTTCTTTCTTCTTCCAGAGTGCAGGGCCTAGAACGATGCAGGAAGGCAGATTCTGTCCAAAGATTAGGAGACAAAAATAGATTCACTGGTGGAACCAATGACCCAGAGAGAGGGTGGGCTCTTCTTTGTCGGATGTGTTCAAGGAGATGCCAAGCTGGGCCTTGGCTTGCAGAAAGTCCTTCATTCAATTCCAGGCACCTCTAAGTGGTGGAGAAGCATGGGTTCTCCAGAAGTCCAGAGGTTCTCCAGAAGAATTACAAGTCCCAACACCCATGGCCGTGGGCATCTAGGCTGGGGTTCTTGGAAACAGCAGTTCATTAACATCCAGCTCTGGGCACTGCCCTTTAAACAATTCAGTGAAATGGGAACAAGTGTGGAGAACAGCAACGAAGATGACCTGATGAGGGAATTAGAAATCAAGGCCTGCAAAGAGAGACTGAAGGAAGGAGCCTTGAGAAAAGATGACTGACAAGTGACAACAGCTTCCACTGGAATACTCAAAAAACACTTTCCAATGTACAAGAAACTCAACAGTGGAATACAAGTATCGTTGGGGCAAACCCAACATTTTTACTAAAACACACGTCCAGTTCTGCAACTGGATACCTATTTAAGATTCTCTCTCTTCTGGCACTTTAAAGATTGACTTTTTATTAGCAGATGACACTACATTTGGCCAAAGCAACACCGCGCCTGCCTCTGAACATAAAGCAGCTGGACTGGAGATGACCTGCCTGTCCATCAAGGTTCCTCCTTAGCAGAATCTCTTTTGACACTTGTCACAAGACAGTCTCGCATTCCTGTGGCACATGAGCTTGTTGGACAGGTGTTAACCCAAAAGCAGATGGTTTCTCAGAAAAGGCAAGACTCAACTTCACACCCAAAGACAGGCTGTCAAGCATTAAATATTTTTTAGCCAGCTCACCAGAGACTTTTGCTATCTCAATTCAGGCATAACCATGGCACTGCCTGTGAAAAATTGACTATAGCATTGTTCTCTCTTTGCATCTCCTTGGATGAGGAAATAGATAAGATTAAAGTGGTTTTGCTGACCTGACCTGACCTGACCTGACCTTTGGCCCTGTTGCCAGATTTTCCAAGAACTGGATGCCATCTTGGTTTCATAAAACACTTAAATTATTGTGTCATTCATGCCATGTTCAGACATCTTGATTGCCACCCATAAATGTGGGCACAGAAACTGTGGGGAAGAACTAAGACTACCTCTATGAAGAAAGATGCCAGTCCTGCTTTGGGCAAGAGATGAGCTCCCTCATGATCTGACTTGGCAACTGCACAACACTGCGACAGGTCCCTGGTCGTGTGGATGAGGACCTCCTTTCCATAGATCTTGGCTACTTTATGCTCTCCGTAAATTTGCCATGAAAAAGAAGCAGCTGGAAGACCCAAGATAGCTCAGAAGACGACAAGAACCTTCCAGCTGGTCTACAGATAATTAATTCCAGTCAGTCTCACCTCTATCACAAACTGAGTTTTGAAGAAGGAGAAGGAAGGAACACCAGGAGTAAATCAACAATAACCAAAACAGCCTGGATCAATTTCAGAGAAAAGTTATACTAGCATCAGAAGAGTGGAAAGCAGAAAGGCCAGGTGTTTAGAAGGTCCTCAGCTTCTGAGTTTCACTGTCCAGAAGACCAACCAGTTAATCATTCAGTTAGCCACAAAATAAATCACACCAGGGCCTTTCATGCACTATTAGGTGAGATGGGCCATATAAAGCAAATGATTGGGATTCAAAGAGTGGCGATGCTTGCCTGTAAACCAAACCCACACAGTGGCTTCAGCGTTTTCCAACAAGGATTAAGAATTAAAAAGCAATTATAATGCACAAGCACACATGTGACTTCACAGCCTCAGAAAATAGAGTTAGGATGATGGAAAGCAAGCAACGCATAACGTGAAAAATCTGCCCCCCCTGCCAAGCCAGAAAAGCTTTTTCCTGGTTCCCAGCAAAAACGAAAGCTAATTGTTTTTGGAAGGGAGATGCAATGGGCACGTTTAACAGCACTTGAGCATAAAGATTTGTTTCTTTTTAAAAAGTGGTCGCAAAGGGATGGTTATCGTAATCATCATTAATATGGTAAACCCCTTGTTATGACATACTCGGAGAGGGTTATATTAACAAGGTAACTCCCTCACCATCCAAGCATTGGGAGCCAACCTCAGATTGATTCTGAAAAAAAAGGTTTTTTTCCCCCTCTATTATGATGTTTTATCCACACCCTAGTTGTCGGTTCTCCATGGATGGAGGTCACACCCAGGACGTATTGCAGATTCATATCCGCACCTCAGAGTAGTTGAAATGCTTTAGGTGACTCCTTTTCTTTAAAAAAAAAAATGCTCGGCAAAACACCGCTACACGACAGTGTTGTTCGAAAGGTAGGAGATGATCAAGTTTTGCAAAAACACCCGCGAATTTGCCTTAGCGGGTGCATCAAGGTTATATCAAGACGGTTTAGCAAGCGTGTAGAACTCATTACGAATTCTATTCGTAACGTCTCAGGCGAACGTTTCCGCTTTTTCAGATACTCAACCTTTCTTTCAGGAAACAAGAAGAGGAGGGAAGGCTTACAAAAATAACAAAACAGAAGAAGAGCGAAGAAATGTTTAAAGAGAGATTACACAGAAGATGCAGAGAAGGTTGTGCTAGTGAAGATCCACAGTGTTTCTCAACCTTAGCCAGTTTAAGAGGAGTGGACTTCAACTCCCAGAATTCCCCAGCCAGCCATGCTGGGGTTTGCATCTACAAGTTTGCAATATATGCCGGACGGGGGGAAAAAGCATGCCTTGAAAGAAAGGCTGATTCCAGTGCAGCTGGAATTTCCAAACTGGAAATATTGAGCAAGCTGCAAAGCAGGGTCTTGCGTGCCCCAGAAGACCCGGCCTTCTTTCACTCCCAGGACTCGAGATGAAATTTGACGGGAGAGTTAAGTTTATTAAATTTTAAATTTAAGTTTCAGGAAAGGTGGCAGGAAAAGAGCCGAAGCATTGGTGAGTGGCAGAGAAGGCAAGTTATGGACCCCGTCAGCGAGAGAATGTCGGCTGTCGGGGCCCAGGAGGAGACCCTTCTCTGCTGTTGCCCCCACCCTCTGGAAAATCCCCCCCCAGAGGTACAGTGGGCCTCTACCCTCCCAGCCTTCCAGAAAGAACTAAAGACCTGGCTCTGCCAGCTTGTGTGGGGCAAGAAGAGTTTTAACCAACCCTGGGGGTGGCGGGCGCCCTGGTGACGCTCCCCAAGCTACTCTCCAATTCCATCAATTCTTGGAATGTCTTTCTTACTTACTTAAGACTGTTTTTACATTGTATTTGAAGACATTTTATCTCCTCTGTTAAACCGACCAGAGTTGCTTTTTAACGAGACGGGCAGCGACAAGTCTGACACAGACACACACACAAATAAATAAAGAAATAATCAGAAGAGCATTCTGGACATCCGCGTGGGGAGAAATGACCCTGCTCTGAGCGATGTGGGCCTTTCCACGGGTCTGCACAAAAGGGTACTAAGGGTCACGGAGGTTTGAAGAGGGTACCCCGAAGCCCCCCCCCCCCCGTTGCTCAGGGCTGGCCCATGAACATTTTGGTCTGGCGAAGCTTGCTCACCCGCCTTCGCTTTTCACTAACAGAAACCTCAGCCCCCGTTTGTAACTTTGTTATCTGGTCAGCAACTAGCGAAAGACAGTTCTGGGGCTCCATGTAATGTGCAGCTGTCTTCTTCAAATTAACCCGAAAATTACTACTCCAACAGGGGGTACCCTGAGGCCCCCCGTTGCTCGGGGCCGGGCCACGGACATTTTGGTCCGGTTAAGCTTGCTCACCCACCTTTGCAATTGGACTCTGCCGCCCTTCCACTTTACGGCCCCTGTTTCTGGGCTCCCTCTCCCACCTCTTCCACCCCCCATAAGGATGCAGCTGGCACAGCTCCCCAAAGAGCTTAATTCTGCATCGCCACAGGGGAGCAGAACCCTTTACAAAGCTTTTCCTCCACCTCTTCCCCGTGAAAAGCCGAGGCCAAGAGGGGACACGGTTGCGCTGCGGAGAAAGAGGGTTCAAAGATGCTCTCCGTGCCAGAATCGCATCCTTGCCACTGGTTGAACTGTTGGCCTGGTAACTGAACTACCCAATGGGGACCCAACACACGTTTGCAGCCCGTCACTGTTTTTTTTTTGCTGGGGAAGAGCGCATGGCGCAGGCTTGGAGGAAACGGGGGCAGCGCATGGGGCGCCCGAG